CAATGGAATACCTTGCCCTCGGAAGTTGTGGGAGGGCCATCACTTGAGGCCTTCAAGAAGAGATTGGACTGCCATTTGTCAGAAATGGTGTAGGGTCTCCCACTTGGGTGGGGAGTTGGACTAGATGACCTACAATGTCCCTTCTAATTCTGATTATCTGTTAACTGTTAAGTGAATCTGGTTTCCCCATTGGCTTTGCTTGTCATAACGCAAAAAGTGATCACACAACCCTGGGACACTGCAACTGTCATAAATATGATTCAGTTGTCAAGCATTTGAAGTTTCCTCAGGTGACCATGGGGATTCTGTAACGGCGATAAGTGTCACTTTTTTTCAGTGTTGTGTAATATTGAACAATCACTAAATGAATGTTTGTAAATTGAAGGCTACCTATAATTGTCAAAAATCTCATGCAAGGACCATTTGAGTAATAATCCAAATAAACTTGAGTCCTTCTTAGATGTGCATCCATAAAATGCCTTTCTAGTGCAAACCACAACAAGGTGGATCCCTAATCCTAATCCTGCTTGTGGTTTTTCCAAGTTCACTTAGTTCAAAGGAATAGAATAGAATAGAATAGAATAGAATAGAATACTTTATTGGCCAAGTGTGATTGGACACACAAGAAATTTGTCTTGGTATAAATACTCTCAGTAAACATGAAGAAAAGATACATTCGTTAAGAATGAAGAATCATAACGTACAACACTTAATGATAGTCATAGGGTTTAATCAACAATCAAATCATACTAGGAAACAGTCTATAACCTTCAACCACAACCCTACCTCAACCAATCCACCATCATCCAAGACTAGGCACGTATGCCCCTAACTACCTCAATTCCAACTACCGCTGGCCTTAAATGCAAGCTACTCAATGCAAGAAGCCTTGTGAATAAAATATCTGAATTTCTCCACTTACTAAATATGGCTAAATTCGACATCATATTTGTCTGTGAAACTTGGCTCAACGCATCTCTCCCTGACTCCATTTCCACAGTAAGAGACGATCATGTTTACTGATCAGATCGTGAAATTCATAAAGGAGGTGGTGTTGCTATCTTCTATAAGAAGTCTTTACATCTAAAAAAACATCCAAGTGACCCAGGAGCTTGCTCTTCCTGAGACCATCATCTGTGAACTATCCTTAAATATCACATTTCGATTCTTACTATGTTACAGAGCACCTGATTATGACATCGAACATGTAAACAAGCTAAATTCACTACTAACATGGGCAACATCCTGCCCACACGCTTTTATCTTTCTTGGTGACTTCAATCTACCTCATATTAACTGGACCCTAAATGAATGTACAACTGAACCCATACATGCAACCTTCTACAATGCTGTTACAAATCTGGGACTGGAACAACTAGTCACCAACAATACTGGACTTAACAACTGCCTCGATCTCATCTTCTGCAATAGTTTGAATTCAATTTACGGAATACAAACTAAAGAACCCTTTTCCAACAGTGACCACAACATGATTGACTTTTGTCTCAACATACGCCCACACAAAAATCATCACAATGACGTAATCCCCAATTATAACTTCAAAAAAGGCAAGTATGATCTTATAGACAATGATCTCTCATCCCTTGATTGGCAATCTCTATTCACTGGATGCAATACTGTTGAAGACCATTACAACCTATTTTTACTTGAAGTCAAACGAGTCATCAAACAACAACAACTCCCAAAACAAAAACAAAAAAAACCAGATTACTCATAACAATAAGGAAATTTCAATCCAAAAAGAGATCACTCTGGCGGAAAAACAAAACTGGTCACGTTGCCAACTTCAAAAGCCGATACAAAAATTTAGGCCACCAGATAAAGACTGAACGCACCAATTATCACATTAAACAAGAGGAAAACCTTCTAAGCACCAATTCCACCCGTGGTTTTTACAATTTTGTAAACAACAAACTAAAAGACTCAAGGTCCATCCCACCCCTGAAAGGGCCTAATGGTAAAGACTGCAACGATGACTCCATTAAAGCCAACCTCTTTAATACATTCTTTGGCTCAGTTTTTGTAAACAGCAATAGATCATGCCCAGTATTTCTTAGCCAAACTACAGAAAACTACAATAATCGAATACATATCGATCTTACAGAAGATGTTGAAAAAGCACTATGCAATCTAAAACCATCTCTATCTATTGGACCGGATTGAATATGTGCCTACTTCTTAAAAAAGCTATCCACTGCCATAGCCGAACCTCTAAGCATAATCTTTGAAAAATCTTTCAGGACCAGCTCCTTGCCTAACCTATGGTCACAAGCCACGGTCATCCCCATCTTCAAAAAGGGGGACCCCAGCCTAGTAGAAAATTACAGACCCATCTCCTTATGCTGCATCACCTGTAAAGTCATGGAATCAATTATTAATTAATCCATTATCCTCCACTTAGAGACAAACAACCTACTCTCTAATAAACAATTTGGTTTCAGAAAAAAACTATCCTGTAATCTGCAACTCTTACACTGCAAAAACATATGGATTACACAACTTGATCAAGGCAAAACAATAGATGCAATCTAAATAGACTTCTGTAAAGCCTTTGATTCAGTGGTACATGACAAACTACTCCTAAAACTAAAATCTTATGGTATCTCTGGACAACTGCATAACTGGATAGAAGCATTCCTGTCAAACAGACAACAAATGGTCAAAATTGGAAGTGTCCTATCAAATTCTGTACCTGTCAATAGTGGTGTCCCCCAAGGCAGTGTTCTAGGACCAACTCTCTTCATACTCTACATAAATGACCTCTGTGATCATATTAAGAGCAAGTGCGTTCTCTTCGCTGATGATGTAAAGCTGTTCAATACCACAGACAATACTGCTACCCTTCAAAAAGACTTCAACTATGTATCAGAATGGTCAAACAAATGGCAACTTCAAATCTCAACAAATAAATGTTCTGTCTTACATATTGGCAAAAAATATCAGAAAATAAAATACAAGCTGAATAGTCAAGACCTTGTTGATGATCCAAACTCTGTAAAGGACCTTGGAGTAGTCATCTCTAATGATCTAAGTGCTAGAGCCCACTGGAACTACATAGCCAAAAAGGCGTTAAGAGTTGTTAACCTAATCTTACATAGCTTTTTCTCTGGTAATATCACACTACTAACTAGAGCATACAAAACATTTGCTAGACCAATACTCGAATACAGCTCATCAGTCTGGAACCCGCATTACGTATCTGATATTAGCACAGTTGAGAAAGTCCAGAAATATTTCATAAGAAGAGTTCTCCACTCCTCTACTCGTTGTAGAATACCTTATGCCACCAGACTTGAAATTCTAGACTTAGAAAACCTTGAATTACATTAGTTTTGGGTATAAGAATAGAGCAGAAGCTTTGTCTTTCGTTCTTCCCGGCTGCCTAGGGAGGAACCCATCTGCAGATGTATATTTCCAATAAAGCCTTTTTCCTTGGATCATCTTTGAATCCTGGTGGTTTTTCTTTAGCCACAATCTCACAATTTGGGGGCTCATCCGGGATCCTCGATGGTGGTCGACTGGAAAACGGGGACCAGGTAAGAGAGTGGCCACAACCTCCCATTGAGAGGCACCTCTCCCCGAATTCGGTGAGACTCCCGAGGTGACTGGGAATCCAGACGATCCTTGGAAAAAGAACTGAGACGAAATGCCGGCTGAGAGTTTGTGAGATCGAACTGAGTTGGGGACGCCCACACATCCTTTGACTTCGGAGAGTCCAGGAGTGATCAGATCAGGTAAACTTTGTTTCCTTTCATTTGTAGTCAAAAGAGAGAGGTCCTTAAACTCCCTGGGGGAATCCAGCGCCTGCTGGAGGACTAGGACTAGGAGTCTGAAACAGAGGGGCCCTTAAACTCTCTGGGAGAATCCAGCGTCTGCTGGAGGACTGGACTGGTGAGACAAGACTCTGGGAGTCTGGAAGAGTAGAGATAGGAAAGGGACAAAGCAAGGGTCTTGGAGACCAGGAAGAAGCCTGTCTGGGACAGGGAAAATTTGACAATGGCAGAAAACCTATTCCGGTAGATTCGCCCCTGGGACAGCTACTCCAGCAGTGGTTCTCCCCGAATCTAAAGGAATTCACCAGACATCTCGAAAAGAAAGACATGATTTATCTTTGTCGGGACTGATGGCCAAAATACCCTTTGATTGATCCTAAATTTTCATACCACTGGAGTCCTGAGGGGGAAACCAGTACCTATTGGATGACTCGGGTTGTCTTTCGTTCTTCCCGGCTGCCTAGGGAGGAACCCTAGTATATTTCCAATAAAGATGTATATTTCCAATAAAGCCTTTTTCCTTGGATCAATTTTGAATCCTGGTGGTTTTTCTTTAGCCACAATATCACAATTATGTTGATTCAAATATTCCAAAATATCAAACACAAGTATCACATTCTTCTTCAATTATCCTTTAGGTTAAATCTACTCCAATGCCCATCATCCCAGTCCCGCATGGAATATGATGTCCCCCTTCGTGTCCTCTGGCATCGCTCTCAGGATCCTCCAGGGGGCTCCCTCGGTAGCCGTTGGAAGAGCTGGGCAGCGCCCCCTCCCCCTCCCGCTTTCGAAGGAAACTGAGCATGCGCCTTGTTTTCTCCCTGTCACAAGTGATGCCTCCTTTTTCCCGGAAAAGGCTGGGAGTGCGTCTGGCTTTTCTACCATGTCTGATCCGGCTCCCCTTCGCTGTGACCCTCGGGCCGAGTTTCCTCCAGAAGTCCCAAGAGTTTGCAGGGAAATCTTACACGGATGGAAATCCAGATGTTGCTATTGGAGGCGAACGTGGCGACCTGCCAAAGTTCGTCAGGTTCGGAGTTATGAGAAAGGGAGATCCCGGGGTCCCATGTTCCCCTGCCACCCCTGTGCATGCACGGGCCAGGCCAGGGAGGAAGCAAAGCTTCAGAGGGCAGGGGAATGAGGATCACAAAGACGAGGGATGCGTTTACCCTCCAACCCTGTGGGTTGGGGGAGCTTTGGAAAGCAGAGATTTCTACTTTCCAAGCAGCCTTGACTCCTGGACAGTTTCCTGCATGTTTCGTGGACCCGTTTTCAGAAGGGGATTCCCTCCCCTCCTCTTTCCTAGGCTGAGAGAAGCGACCTGCCGAAGTCGCTTCTGCTGGCCTTGCATGCAAGGCTGCAACCCCGTGTGCAAGAAGTTGGATAGAAGTTGTGCAAGGACTGGAACTCGGTTTCCTGGTTTCCAGCCTTTCTCCACCAAGTGGTTCTTTCAGCACACATGATGCTCCACATCATGTTAAACAGTTAAAGCATAGATGGTTTATTTGTTGAGATGTTAGTTCTGTATGCCTAGGATGATGGTTTCTTAATTCTGCCCTCTGGAGTTTCCCCAGGAGTTTGGGCCAGAAAGTTGATGAGGTTCTCATCTCAATCACTGTTTATGATTTGTGATTCCGATTGTGCAAAGTTTTTTACTTTGCAAACAGCCATTGAAATCATTAGACTAAGTAATCAGACACTAGAAGTCGGAAACTTTTCTAAATGTATTTATCCAATATTTTCAGTCCTTGTTCGAAGCTGATCTAGAAGGCAATCCTGAATTTACTGCAGTAGTCAGACTTCCTAATAAGATAATAATAATAATCCTCCTTGTATATACAGCTGGATTTCTTTCTTTCCTTCTTTTTTTGTAGGAGGAGGAAGAGGTTGCTTCAGTATTCAGATTTGTCACCATTTTGAACTCGCTGTGTTTTCCATTTCAGATATCTAAGTTGGAAATCTTTCCTGGTTCCTCTGGAGTCCAGATTATCTTTTGTGGGAAGAGGGCTAAATCACCCTAGGAGATTTGGCTAGACCTCTTGTGAAATCCATTCCTCCATTTTGGATCTGGATTAGAGACCAGAGACAAGATGGAGGGACAACGCCCAGCAGATGCAGGTGTTGGAAAAGGCCTTCCAGCTACTCAGCCTTGGAGCTGTGGGGAAAATGGGGCAAGTCCTGGGCAGAAGAGCCAAGAAGAGGAAGCCAACACTTCGGAGATCCAATACTGTCACTTCAGAAAAGTGCAGTTCCAGGGGGGGAAGAGTCCCCAAGATGTTTGCACTCAGCTTCACCACCTTTGCTGTCAGTGGCTGCAGCCAGAAAGACACATGAAGGCTCAGATGCTGGACCTGGTGCTCCTGGAGCAGTTCCTGGCTGTCCTTCCCCCAGAGATGGAGAAATGGGTGCGGGAGTGTGGAGCGGAGACCAGTTCCCAGGCGGTGGCCCTGGCTGAAGGCTTCTTGCTGACCCAGGAGGAGGAGAAATTGCAAAAAGCATTGCAGGTGTGAGAATTTAATCATGGCATCTCTAAAGAGGAGTTCTGTGAATTTGTCAATTGCTTTTTGGTAGAATTTTCTGGGATTATTAACTCCTATGGACAGTTGTTCCATTCTTCTAGGGCCCTGATGGTGAACCTATGGCACTCCTACCAGAAGTGGCACGCGGAGCCATCTCTGGCGGCATGCGAGCTGTCGCCCCAGCTTAGTTCCATTGCGCATACGCATGTGCCTCCCGCTAGCCAGCTGATTTGCGGGTATCTGCGTGTATGTGGGGGGGGCAGGGCGCATGCGGGAGATGCGTGCACATGCGCAGGAAGTGGGGGAGCACAAGGGGGTTACACATGCATTATGGGTGCAGGCACGCAACAACGTAAAGGTTAGCCATCACTGTTCTAGGGGATGTGTTTGGGGGCAATTCCTTGTATTCTGTTTCCAGTTTTGCAAGCAGAGATTGGAGTCTGCTGGTTTAAAGGTGCAGTATGATAATTCCTGACTGCTCTTTCTTTGTTTCTCATATCGCATCATGTCCAGAAATCCTTGGAAACTTTGACTGAATATCCCAAGGGGAGGAAAGATTCATTCAGATCTTCTCAAGAGCTGCTGTTCAGGGAGACTTTACACAAAGATCAAACTCACGATACCACGCCAGGTAAGATAAGCTCTTTCTGTATAATGTGACTTCAACATTTAGCTGATTCTTTTTTTTTTTTAATTTAATTTTATTGGTTTTTAACAACAAACAAAACAAACAAAACAAACAAAACATAAAAACATCCAGCTTTCTTTCATAAATATACAGACAGTGTGTCGGTTGGTTTACCAGTTTTTGTGCATTCATTTCGTAGTCTCAATTACAGTTACATTACATAATAACTCATATTATCAATCAGAAATTATATATCCTAGTATCACTATTAAACAATCATTTGACTATAATTTTATTCATTCATACTTTACAAGATAACTATAATTTACTTAGTTTACTTTATAACAAATCATATAGTCATAACCAAATCTATCGTGAAAACATTTTATAGATATGATATCAAATAACAAAAAAAAAATCTTATTATATATTCATTATTATCTAAAATTCTAAATATTCTATTATTGTATTTTATCATCCAGCCATTGATAGAAAAGGTCCCAAATTTTATAGAATTGTTTATCCTCTTGTTCTCTAATTTCAAATGTCAATGTAAACTTTTAGCTGATTCTTTTGCTCCTCTTGATTGGAATCTCTCTCCTTAGAACAAATCTGCTTCCACCATTTTTCCCTTACAGAGAGTAGAAAACTGTCCTTGGAAATTTTAGAATCACCTCCTCTTTGTGGTGGGGCTGAAGGGTTGGCTGAACCGCAACTTCAGGTAAGGAGGAAAAAGATTGGAAAATCTCCATGAATCTTGGATGGATTTCATTTTGTTCTAGAGTTTATTGTAATAAATTGCTGTTTCTAAGCAATATGAATCTGACATCCGGTCATTCAAAACTGATAGGCGGCCTAGCCTATCTCTCCCTTCTGAGGGGATCCTTTGTGAGATGCTTTCTCCATTTCTCCTGCTTCGCCATCAGGTTTCATTGACCAGATTGTTGTCAGCATCGGGGCTCTTCCTTCTGTCTCCCAGGGTTATTCTCGCATACCATTACAAAAAATACTCTTTTCTTCCTTTTCAAAAGCATCTTTGGGACTATTACAAGTGATCTCATTTTGAATTCAGCAGAAGATGCCTATTTTGTTCACTGGATCTCTCTCGAACCTTTTTTCCTTGTTCAGGGTGTAGTGTCTTTTGAAGACGTGGCGGTATATTTCTCCAAGGAGGAGTGGTCTCTACTGGATGCTGACCAAAAAGCTCTCCATAGAGAAGTCATGCTGGAGAATTCCAGGAATCTGTTTTCTCTGGGTAAGAACCCTGTCTGTGCTCAGGATAGCAGAGCAGGTATGGGATGAGAGCCTTAAATGTAATTTCTGGGGGGAAATCACTTATTTATTTATATCCGGCCTTTATTTTTTGTAAATAATAATAAAGGCAGTGGACAAACCCAGTATTCCTTCCTCCTGCTGTTTTCCCTACAACAACAACCCTGCGACATGGGTTGAGCTGAGAGAGACTGGCCCAAAGTCACTCAGTCAGCATTCATGCCTATGGCAGAACTAGTACTCACAGTCACCCAGTTTCTACCGTGGTGTGTTAACTGTTTCACCAAACTGAATTTATAGAAGAAGGAAATTTAATTGAAAGAAAAATTGGAAAACGGATAACAATCAGAGTTGGAAGGGACCTTATAGGTCATCTAGTCCAACCCCTCACCCAAGCGGGAGACCCTACACCATTACTGACAAATGGCAGTCCAATCTCCTCTTGAAGGTCTCAAGTGATGGTGCTCCCACAACTTCCGAGGGCAAGCTGTTATATTGGTTGATTGTTCACTGTCAGAAAGTTTCTCCTTATCTCCTTGTTTAGTTTCCATCCATTATTCCTTGTCTGGCCTTCAGGTACTTTAGAAAATAACTTGACCTCTTCCTTTCTGTGGCAGCCCCTCAAATATTGGAAGGCTATCATGTCTCCCCTGGTCCTTCTCTTCACTAGACTAGCCAAGCCCAGTTCCTGTAACCGTTCTTCATATGCCTTAGTCTCCAGTCTCCTAATCATCCTGGTTGCTCTTCTCTGCACTTTTTCTAGAGTCTCAACATCTTTTTTATAATGTGGTGACCAAAACTGGATGTAGTACTCTAGGTGTGGTCTTACTAAGGTTTTATAGAGGGGTATTAGTACCTCACTTGATCTTGATTGTATCCCTCTGTTAATACAATTTAGGATTGCATTAGCTTTCTTGGCTGCTGCTGCACACTGCTGGCTCATACTTAGCTGGTTGTCCACTAAGACTCCAAGATCCCTCCCACAGTTACTGCTAGTGAGCCTGGTTTCACCTAGTCTATATGGGTACTTTTGGTTTTTCTTGCCTAAGTGCAGGACTTTACTTTTCTCTACATTGAATTTCATTTGTTAGATACGTGTTGAGGTAGTTCCCCATTAGGAGAATGAGCGCATACAGGGAGACATATTTGAGAGGAGTGTTTGAATAATACACACACAGCACACAGATACACTGTACAGTAAATGTAGGCTTTTACTTTCAGAAACGTTTAAGCAAAGTTCAAGATAAGCAGTCCAAAATCATTCACAGGTTAAATCAGTCAGTTTTCAGTCCAGAGATAATCCAATAACAAAGTCCAGTGTCAAAAACAGTTCAGTATCAGACTTACAGCAAATCCATGAATATCAGTCAATTAAGAGGAACGGCAATGCTCTCCAACAGAAGGAAACAGAGACTGACTCACACTCTCTTCTGAGACTAAGACGAAGACAACCCAGGTTTCTGGCTCCATCTTATGGCTGTTTGAGAAACCACACCCAATTACAATTGTATGATTCTCTTAAAGAGACATTATTAAAATGTCTATCCTGGTTTATATATTGTCCAACCCAAATAGCTGTTAGGTGACTCATATTCCTAACATTCTCCCCTTTTGGGTAAGACAATGTATACAACCTTACATTCTAAGTCCATAATCCTCACAGCAATCCTTATGCTTTATAGAGCCTTGGGCCTTTGTAAAATGATCTGCTATATTTTCTGACATACAGTATTCCAGCTTAATCATTTTACTTTGCACACATTGTCTCACATTTAAAAAGCTTTAATCTGTGTGTTTTGTTCTTGTCTTAACAGCAATATTTGAAGCCATCTGTATTGCTGATTTATTATCTTCATAAACAACAATAGAATCTGTTACATCAATTCCCATGTCAATTTTGCTTATACAAAACTAAATCTGTACATAGTAAAGACAAACATGAGAATTCAGCCTCCATTGTTGACAAACTTAGATGTTTCTGTCTAATAGACCTCCATCCAATCAATGCCTTTCCCAATGATACTACAGTACCTGATGTAGATTTTCGTGTATTTATGTCTGTACCAAAACTTGTATCAGCATATGCAGTTAAACTCAGTTCATCTTTAGGCTCCAAATACAATGCATAATCCATTGTTTGTTTCAGATATCTTAACACACGTTTAGCAGCTTGCCAGTGCCTTTCAGTCGGCTCAGCATTAAATCTAGTTAATTGATTAACACTGTATACTATATCTGGCCTTGACCAATTACTGAGATAAGATAAACTACCAATCAAGGACTGATAAATGTTCTTATCAAAAATAGGACTTTGAACATCACTATTGCTAAACTCCTGGCTCATTGGTGTTTTAGCTGGTTTACAAAGTTCCATTTTAAAACTTTTTAGTAATTAGTTAATTTTATCTGCCTGTGAGATCTTGTATCCTCCCCTAGTTCTATCTATCTATAAACCAAGATATTGTTTGATTTCTCCTAACTGTTTTATCTTAAATTTCTCCTCTAACAGTGAGATTATTTTAGTAGCTTCTTGTTCAGTTTTGGTGATTAATGCTATGTCATCAGTAAATAATACCAACAATGAAATTACACCATTACTTTCTCTTTTAAACAAACATGGATCAGCCATGCCAGCTACAAAGCTTATCTTAGTTAATTCTTTAACTATACATTGGTTCCACTCACATCCTGATTTAAGCCATAAAGACTCTTTTTCAATCTCCAGCAATCAGTTGCATTATCATTTTTGAGACCTAAAGGTTTCTTTAAATATATAGTGTGTTGCAACGGTGCATGCAGATATGCTGTCTCTACATCCAAATGATTTATAATGTATTTCTCCTTAGCTGCCCACACTAATGCTGCCCTTAATGTAGTAGCCTTCAGACTAGGTGCAAACACCTCATCGTACTCATTTGCTGTCTGATTGAATCCTTGTGCTACTAACCTGGCTTTATGGGTAACAGTCCCATCTACACCTGTCTTCAGTTTATAAATTCATTTACATCCTATGGCATGTTTACCTGGTGGTAACTTAATGTTTTCATATACCTCCAGTCTTTTTAATGATTCCAGTTCCTTATCCATTGCTTTCTGCCAAGCAGCCTGATCCTTAGCAGGATACAGTTTCAGTTCACTATAGTTACTTGGAACTGTATTCACTTGGCATACAACACTAGCCTGATATCTATCAGGTGGTCGTGTTACTCGGGTTGAACGTCTTGGTAATACAGGGCTTACTGGTGGAATTTCCTGTGCCACCTGCTCCTGTTCTTCTACCTCTTCCTGTGCCTGAACTCCTACTTCCTCCTGTTCTTCCTCTTTAATGGCTATTTGTGGTTTACTTATTTTATCTTTAGGGACTATTTGGGTGTCAATAATAATATCATTGCTGGATTCCTGTTCCAGTTTATCCCACTGAATGTGCTCGAGAAATTTTGCACTAGCACTACAATAAACATGAGCTGTGCCTTGATCCCAGAATCTAAACAATCTATGGTTGGCCTCATAACCCACAAAAAGTAACTTCTTAGCTCTATGTTGCCCTTTCATTCTTACTTGTGAGAGAATATGCACCCATGCTGGAGCTCCAAATGTGTGTAGGTAACTTAAATTTGGTTTTCTGCCATGCGAACGAGTGAATGGCAATTCACCAGTTGTTGATTGCTACACATTATGGCCTCGCCCCACAGTGTTTCAGGCAAACCTGAATCAGATAACATAGTGCGAGCCATGGCTTGTAATGTTTGCCCTCTTCGTTCTACAAACGAGTTATGTTGTGGTCTGTAAGGTGCAGAAAGTTATGCTCAACACCAGCCAATTTCAACATAGTTTGGAATCTCTTGTTAACAAACTCAGTCCCATTATCAGTAACTAAAGTAATTAGTTTACTTTTCATTTTTCTCTCTGCAAACCTTAGCCAGTTAAAGAAATGTTGGAATGTTTCTGTTTTGTTTTTCATAAGATAGCAGAAACCGTATCGTGAGTAATGGTCCATAATACTCAAAATATAACAGACACCTCCTAGAAGTGGTTTCTTAGAACCAATTATGTCAGCAAACACAACCTCTAAAGGTACTTTGGTCTTAAACCCATTAAGTCTGTTTGCAGGAGTAACCTTACTTTTCTCTTGGCTACAAGCATTACAGTTTAAATACTTGCTACATGGTTTCAATTTTACTCCCTCTGACAATTTAACAGTTTGTTTGAGCATTTTGAAATTAATGTGCCCTAGACGTCTATGCAGTAAATGTGTACATTCATCATGTGGCTTATCATTGTTATAAACTTAGCCATCTTCAACTGTATCACATATAAATCATTTGCTAATGTAGCAGTAACACTTTTACACTCTTTCTCTATTACACAGTTATCTCCCTTAAAGGTTACTACATAACCAAGATTAACTAAAGCCCTTACTGATAGCAAATTAAATTTCAGTTTAGGTACATATAACATAGTTAAATGTTCATTTATACAAGAACAATATGCAGTACCTTCACCTGATGCTTTAAACTTCCATCCATTTGCCAATGATACATGTTGTTTACTTGTGGACATCTTTACAAACCTTTCCTTATCTTTAGTAATGCATTGCGATGCTCCACTATCAACAACCCACAAATCATGGTTTACAGTTGAATTGCTAGACATAGCTAAACTAACATTCATCTTAGCCTTCTGGTGTTTATTAGTATTCTGTTGTTTCTTACAGAATCTAGCTATATGTCCCCTAGCCCCACAAGAAAAACATTTCCTAACAGTATAGGCAGTTGAAGACAAATCCTCTTCTTGTGGTTGTTCCTTCCTCAGTTTGTTCCTAACCAGCCGTCTTCTTGCTTCTTCTAACAGTCTTTCAGTTATATCAGTCAATGTCAGTTCATCTCTGGTCAGGACTTCCAGTGAAGATACATAATCATCATAACTTTCATCCAATTAGGAAAGAATGATGTAAACTTGACGCAGCTCTGAAAAAATCAGTTCCTTTTCATGTAGCTCTTGAAAAGTTCTTTTCATGAAGTTCAAATGAGCTAACATATCTCCACCTTTCAGAAGACATGCTCTAAACAGTTTACGTGTAAGATGTATGTGTGCATCTACACTGTCACAAACATAAATCTTCAAATTCTCCCAACACCTAGCAGCAGACTCTTCTCCACAAATATGGACTAGCTGCTGGTTACTCAGTGTTAGTCCAGTTATACAAAGAGCTCGTTCGTTGTTCTGTTTAAAGTCAGCAAGGTTCTTGGCATTGTCCTCATTTTCTGGATCCCAAGCATTTACATCCTGTGGGTCTTGAACTACATTCCATAACGCTTCTCTATGCACTTCATAGACCAGGAAACATAGTTTGTTCCATCCAACCGGGTTATCAGTGATAGACTTGTTGAAGTGTCTTGCGCCATCTTTACCAGGATAGTAACCCACAATTAAACAGTAAACAGCTGTCTGTATACAGTACTGTGTATTCACACTAACTCTCAGTTAACTGAGCCTGGTATGGCCTGGGCCCATAACCAGTGTTGAGGTAATTTCCCGTTAGGAGAATGAGCGCATACAGGGATACGTATTTGAGAGTAGTGTTTGAATAATACACACACAGCACAGAGATACACTATAAAGTAAATGTAGTTTTTTACTTTCAGAAACATTTAAGCAAAGTTCAAGATAAGCAGTCCAAAGTCATTCACAGGTTTAATCAGTCAGTTTTCAGTCCAGACATCATCCAATAACAAAGTCCAGTGTCAAAAACAGTTCAGTATCAGACTTACAGCAAATCCATGAATATCAGTCAATTAAGAGGAACGGCAATACTCTCCAACAGAAGGAAACAGAGACTGACTCACACTCTCTTCTGAGACTAAGACTAAGACAACCCAGGTTTCTGGCTCCATCTTATGGCCGTTTGAGAAACCACACCCAATTACAATTTTATGATTCTCTTAAAGAGACAGTATTAAAATGTCTATCCTGGTTTATATATTGTCCAACCCAAATAGCTGTTAGGTGACTCATATTCCCAACAATATGGCCCAGTGTTCTAGTCTGTCAAGATCCATCTGGATCTTGAGCCTGTCTTCTTGGGTGTTAGCTAGTCCTGCCAGCTAGGTATCATCTGCAAATTTGGTAAGTTGCGCTTCTATTCCCTCATCTAAGTCGTTAATGAAAATATTGAAGAGTATTGGGCCTAAGACAGAACCTTGTGGCACCCCACTGCTTACTTCCCTCCATGTAGACTTAGACCCATTAAGGAATACTCATTGAGTACTGTTTGTCAGCCAGTTGCGAGTCCATCTAGTGGTGGTGCTATCTATTCCACTTTTTTCTAGCTTGCTAAGAAGTAGGTTGTGGTCTACTTTGTCGAATGCCTTGCTGAAATCTAAATATATTATGCCCACAATATTTTGCTGGTCTACTAATTTAGTTACTATGTTGAAGAATGAAATAAGATTGGTTTGGCATGATCTGTTCTTAACAAATCCATGCTGACTGCTAGTTATTATTTACTTGTTTCTACCGTGTTTCTCCAACAATATGGCCTCCACCAATAGGAAGGCCCAGCATGATTTCTAGGCATGAAGTGAAATTTAGCCCTGCCCCCAAAATTTAGGCCTATTTAATCCATGCGTTTCCCCACCATTTCTCACATCGTTCGTTAAAACTACACGAGGTGAAGAGAAATGGGAGGAAGGGGGGGGAGAAAACTTGCCTTTAGGAGTGCCCTGCAGGTAGCCTAGGCTAGAATACCCTGATCTACTACCGATAGAACATCGGCCGATAGAAGCTCCCCGAAGGCAGACTCACCAGCCGCTTCTATCGGCTGGTAGAAGCGGCCTTGGAGCGAGCGCCCATGTGCACTCCCCTCGCCATGAGGCCGTTTCTATCGGCCGATGGAAGCTCCCTGAAGGCAGCGTCACCAGCCGCTTCGGGGTGAAGCATGGCTGCCTGGGAGCGCTCCTGACAGGAGCACCCCACGCACACTCCCCTCACCATGAAGCCATTTCTTTTGGTGGATGGAAGCTTCCCAAAGGCAGAGTCACCAACAGCTTCTATTGGCCGGTAGAAGTGGCCTTGGGGCGAGCGCCCCACGTGCACTCTCCTCACCATGAGGCCATTTTTATCAGCCGATGGAAACTCCCCAAAGGCAGAGTCACCAGCCGCTTCGGGGCGAGGCGTGGCTGCCCGCAGGGTGCTCCTGACAGGAGCGACCCCGCACACTCCCCTCGCCACAAAGCCATTTCTATCGGCCGATGGAAACTCCCCAAAAGCAGAGTCACCAGCCACTTCTACCAGCCGATAGAAGCGGCTGGTGACTCTGCCTTCGGGGAGCTTCCATTGGCCGATAGAAGCGGCCTTGTGGAGAGGTGAGTGCGCATGGGGCGCTCTAGGTGGAGGTGCGTGTGGGGGAGGAAATTAAGTCACCCCCGAAAAGACGTCCTAGCCATTTTTTCCGGGGCTCAAAAAAAAAATAAGACCCGGACTTATTTTATGAGAAACACAGTAGAAGTTGGCAGATCTCTTTGTTTATTATCTTTTCTAGTATCTTCCTGGGTATTGATGTTAGGCTGATTGGTCTATAGTTTCCTGGGTCTGTTTCTTTTTCCATTTTTGAAGATGGGAGCCACATCATCTCTTTTCCAGTCCTCTGGTAGTTCTCCGGTGCTCCAGGATTTTTGAAAGATATGGTGCAGTGGTTCTGAGATGACTACATAGCATTCCTTTTCACATAAAGGAATTGGATTCTTTTTTATGCTTTCTGCTCATAAAATGCAACATTTCATGCCATAGAAGATATTAGAGAGAATCTGAGGGTCACATAGGGATGATGTCATCTCTTGAGGAAGGTTCTGCCTACCAGGGTTCGGTATTCATACCTGAACATTGTCACTGGCTCCCCCCCGATGGGCCTGAGTTGCTATGACCAAGACTGGATGGGTCCTGAGTGGGATGTCCCTTCTCTCAGATGTGCCCATTTGTGTACCAAGTTTGGCATCAGCTTAATTGAGGGTGGGGAGCTATTGCCATCCAGAAATTCCCCTCCGCTTTCAAAGATTTTGCTCTGCAGAAAAGTGGGGATCAGACTTCCAGTGAAGTTGGGGAGCTGGTAGGTATGTAGTTGACCCAGCATGATACCATGTCCAATGGACTTCAGGACTTTGTGGCCCCATGAAATAGTCCCAGGTCAAAGTTTAGATCAGGGTTGTGTCTTAGATTCATTGTGATGTGATCCAATTCTATTATATGAGGATCAGTAGGGATAAATTTGCAATATGGGTCTTTGCTAAAATGTTAGTTTGGAATCTTCATGTTTGCTATCAAAGCAGCCAAAATATATTAATGATTCTTTGGCTGAATTTCAGAAGAAAAGTTTTGATTGTTCCCTTTTCTAGCTACATTTCATTTTCATTTTTCTTTTTGAAGGCTTTAATGGGCAAGAGAATAAGAATTGCAACGAGGAATGCCATGCAATCCATCTGAAAAAGGAAAAGGGGAAATTTGCAGGCCATGTTTCAACAGTCATAAGTGCGAAAAGTGGTCGTAAGACATTTTTTTCAGTACTGTTCTAACTTCGAACAGTAGTAGATTAACTGTTGTAAGTTGAGGACTACCTGTCTGGGAATTAAACATAATTCAACCAAAAGCCATAGAACAAGATCACACATATATCAACGTATCATGTGAAAAGAATTTCAGAATGATGAATTCCTCCCACAAAAGAAACCAGAATGAGAAGTGAAATCCATGTTCAAAAACACTTTTTGAAGCAATAGAGCCAAGGTGGTGCAGTGGTTAAAATGCAGTATTGCAAGCTAATTCCACTGACAGCCAGGAGTTCGATTCGGACTGGCTCAAGGTTGATTGAACCTTCCACTCTTCTGAGGCTAGTAAAATGAGGACCCAGATTGTTGGAGGCAATATGCCAATTCTATAATCCGTTTATGGAGTGTTGTAAAGCACTATGAAGTGGTATATCAGTTTAAGGTCTACAGCTATAGCTATTTTGTCTTTCTATGACATGAATACGGAATATCTCTAAATTCAATTTAATTAAATTGGGTTTAATTGAAAGTAATTGGATTTTAATTAGAATGGAATAAAATTAATTTTGGATATAAATTAAATATCATCGGTATGATTTGGTTGTCCATGAGACATTTTTTAAAATTCTTTTTTATGAATTAAAAATTAAACCCACAGGAAAACTTTTGGAAGGATTTGGAGGGGGGAAGGAATACTTTAGGTTTTCAGAGACTCAGGCTGCTTTGAAGCTATTTATTCAAATACTGCTTAACTATGGTTTTGGATCAGACTGGTGAAAGGGCACCAATTTTGGTTTTGTAACCACTGTGTCACGTTTTTCCATTATAGAAGACTGAGAAAAATGGGCTCAAAACAACCAGGCTTTAGGCAAGACAAAGATGTTAATTCTATTCTTTTTCAGTCGCTTCTTAGCTCTATTTCCCTGTTTTTTTCTTTCATTAATGTAGATAAATGTCTTTGTTGTTCTTGCAAGGTAACCTCCGAATCCACACTAATCTGTTCAAACTGTGGGAGTCTTCAGCTCTTTTGGCTAGAAGAAAATTGGTACTTTGTTTAATCTAGATGACTTACGTTGTCTTTCAACTTTCTATGCATATTTCCTGAGCTGTCTTCCCTACTGAAAAACTGGAAGAAAGCCATTTTTCTTTTTTGCCTCATGGAATTTTAACTTTATGTGTATCTCTCAAGATTTGCCTTCCGTATTTTGTAATTGCACCTTTCCGCCAGTCACCTATGAGACACCATTCTCCCATTCATCTCTCCATCATGGCGCCTTGTTTTGAGGTAAAATTTCTAAAACTTCCATGAGTTTGAGCTGTCTCTCCATTTTGAAACTGGTTTCCTTTTGATGTGGCTTTTTCAAGCAAGATCGTTTCTTCTGGATTCTTCCCATTGTTGCTGCTGCCACTTCCTATTTTGAACTGCTGTTAGCTGCCTAGAGACATGAATTTAAAAAGACAGCTGAAATAATGGAAATAAAACATCAATACAAATTTGTGTGTGTGTAAAAGTTTTTTATGTTTTAAAGACAATCACTAACAAACAGAAACATAAAACATCAACATAAAACCATCTTCCAAAATATAGCATGTCGGTTGGTACATTTCTTTCGTGCAATGTCACAATATCAACAGTATCCCCTTCCAAACATACATTCATATTACAAAAGTCAACTATACCTATTATATTATATTGTATTATTATTGTATCATTATTAGACTCAATTATAAATTTACATAGTTCTTATTGAGCAAATCTAAGTTTCAACGAATCTGGGAACATACAATTCATTTCATTATGTTCAATGATATAATATTGCATCATATTATCTTATATATTATACTATTCCTTTTTATAACATAGTTTATTTCTCTATTTTCTTATCTAACCATTGATAAAATGAATCCCAAATTTTATAATATGCTTTATCTTCTTACTCTCTAATTGCTAATGTCAATTTACTCATTTCTGCACATTCCATCATTTTCTTAATCACTTCTTCCTCTATTGGAATTTTTTCACTTTTCCAATTTCTAGCAAATGCAATTCTATCCGCTGTTAACACATTTATAATCAAATACATCAATTCTCTATTGTATCCTTCAGGCAAGATACCCAATAAAAATATCTCTGATTTCAAGTCTATATGCTGTTTTGTCATTTTTTCAAGCCATGTATGAATTTTAGTCCAGTATCTCTTAGCTTCCACACACGTCCACCACATATGATAATATGATCCAGGTATCTGATGACACTTCCAACATCTCTCCAATTTGTTCTTAAACATACTTGCTATTCGTTCTGGGGGTAAGTGCCACCTGTAAAACATCTTATACAAATTATATGCTACCTACATTGTCAATTTATAATTTTGAGACCATAATTTTTGCTATTTATCTAGATCTATCCCATATCCAAAATTCCTCCCCCAGGCAATCATTGTTTCTTTAACTTGTTCTTCCTCCAATTTAATTCCAAGTAGATAACCATAATTTTTTAAAATCATTTTTTCATCAGTACCTGTTAACATTTCATCCAATTCTGTAAGTTCATTATAAGATCCCTCTGTTTTACAATCTTTATCATACCTAGAATGTATTTGCATATATGTATACCAATTCATCTTAATTTCTTGCTCCTCTAGTTCTTGTTTAGATTTGAGCTCACCCTTTTCATTTAAAATTTCACCATATCTAACCGTATGTTCCATTCTATAAACAACTGGGTATGCAAATGCTTCTGTAGTTGACAACCAGACTGGAATTTTCATGTAATGTTTTCTTATTTTCTCCCATATCAACAATAAAGAATCTTGTATATAGTGTCACTTGAAATACCCATGAGTCTTACTTTCTTTATACCATAAAAAGCATGCCATCCCAGTAATAGATCATGACCTTCTAGTGTTAATAATCTAACATTCCTTAATAAAACCCATTCTTTAACCCATATCAATGCTGCCGCCTAATAATATAATTCCCAGTTAGGTAAGCCAAATCCTCTTATTCTAGCATCTTGTAACAACTTAAGTTTAATTCTTGCCTTCTTCCCCTGCCATATATATTTCAATATTATTTTATTTAAATCCAAAAAAATTCTTCCCCTAATTTAATTGGAATAGTCTGAAACAAATATAAGATCCTTGGAATATATTCATCTTACTTGTAGATATTCTCCCTATCAGGGATAATTGTAGATTCTGCCAATTTCTTAAAATCTGTCTCAATCTTTTTTTTAAGTTTAACATAATTGTCTTCTTTCAAAGTTCCACATCTTGCTTTTAGATATATTCCTAAGTATTTTACTTTATTTATAATCTGAATGTTCAGTCGTTCTGTCAAGACAGTCTTTTGTTTATCCATCATATTCTTAACTAATATCTTGGTTTTATCCTTATTTATTTTCAATCCTGCCACCTGTCCATATTCTTCAATTTTTTCGAACAATTTGGGCGCTGATTCCAATGGTTCCTCCAATATGAAAACCAAATCATCTGCAAATACTTGTGGTTTATATTCCTCCTTTTTTATTTGCATTCCCTTTAGTTCTCTATTGTCTCTAATACTTCTATTTAGCACCTCCAAAGTCAACACAAACAGTAATGGTGACAAAGGACATCCTTGTCTAGTTCCTTTTTCAATATTGATATTTTTCATCAAATCTCCATTAATCATCATTTTAGCAGATTGCTTTTGATATATTGCCTCAACTGCTTTTATAAATCTTTCTCCAAAGCCCATCTGTTCCATTTGTAGTATCATAAACTGTCAGTTTACATTATCAAAGGCTTTTTGTACATCTAAAAATACCAAGGCCATTTGCTTCTCTGAGTGAATTTCATAATATTCCAAAGTGTCCAGAATTATTCTTATATTATCTTTGATCTGTCTCTTAGGCAGGAATCCATTTTGATCAACATGTATAAAGTTATTCAAGTATCATTTAAGTCTTTCTGCCATTATTGAAGCAAAGATTTTGTAATCTGCATTTAACAGGGAAATGGGTCTATAATTCTTAATCTGCTGTAAATCAGTGTCCTCTTTTGGTATTAAAGTAATATATGCTTCTGTCCATGAGTCGGGTATTTTAGCTTTCAATAAGACTTCATTCATCACTTCAAGCATTATATTACTCAGTGGTTTCTGTAAAGTCTTATAAAATTCAGCTGGAAGTCCATCCGGGCCTGGAGCCTTCCCAATATTTTGTCTGTTCAACGCTTCTGTCAGTTCCATCGTTATTTTCCCTTCTAACATTGTCTTAATGTCTTCAGCTTTTTCAGGTAGCTCTGATTTTTGTAGATATTGTTTAACTTTTTCTTTTTCAATATTCTCTTGCTTATATAATGTCTCATAGTACTTCTGTACAATCTCTTTTCTTCATTTCCATTACAGCTCACACCTTGATCATCAATCAACTGTATTATCTTTTTCATTTCTCTCTCTTTTCAGTTTATATGCTGCTGATCCAGTTCTACAGAGGAATGATTGAGTCTGTCATCTACACCTCTATAATTGTCTGGTTTGGTTCTGCAACCCAACAGGACAGGCACAGACTTCAGAGGATAATTAGGACTGTAGAAAAAACAATTGCTACCCACCTGCCTTCAGTTGAGGATCTGTATACGGCATGAGTCAAAAAGAGGGCTGTGAAAATATTTACAGACAGCTCACATCCCGGACATAAAGTGTTTCAACTCCTTCCCTCAAAGCGACACTATAGAGCACTGCACTCCAGAACAACTAGACACAAGGACAGTGTTTTCCCGAACGTCATCACTCTGCTAAACAAATAATTCCCTCAACGCTGTTCAACTAATACAAAGTCTGCACTACTGCTAATCTTGTCATCACTCCTTATCACCCATCCCCTCTCTCTTGTGACTGTATGACTAACTTTGTCACTTGTATACTTATGATTTATATTGACTGTTTCCTTTTATCTTTTCTTTTATGTATACTGAGAGTATTTACACCAAGACAAATTCCTTTGTATGTCCAATCACACTTGGCCAATAAAGTATTCTACTTTATTCGATTCGATTCTATGCCAGCCATCTACCAGGTTATTCGCATTTTCAAATAAATTTTGTTTGGCACTTCTAATTTTTTGAGCTAATTATTCTTTTTCTGTCAACCCTATTTTGTGCTTAATAACCTCTATTTGTTTTTTAATAATCATTTTTGTGAGTATTTTGTCGTTCTTTCTCAAGTTTTCGGTATTCATCCTCTAATATCTGTTGATTCTGTCTTTTCTTAGTATTTCTTCTTGTATAATCTATAATCAGACCTCTAGTATAGGTCTTCATAGTATCTCATAAGTTCTGCAGTGAAGTTTCCCCCTTTTTATTCTCCTTAAAGAAGAACGCCAATTCTTCTTCCATTTTCTGTAAAAATTCTTTTTCTTTCAATATTATATTATTTAAAGTCCATCTAAATCTTTTCCTTTGTCCTTGCCATTTAACCCCTATTGGATTGTGGTCCACCCAAGTACTTGCTTCAATATTAATTTCTTGTATATTAAAGATTTCCGATGACATCCAAATCATATCAATTCTCGACAAGGATAGGTGTCTATTAGAATAGAATGTATATTGTCTACTTTTAGAGTTCATTTCTCTCCAAACATCTCTAATACTAAGTTCTTCCACCATATTAAAAAAGGATTTGGGGAGTGTATTTCTGCTCTTTTTGTTAAGTTTCTGTGTTTTATAGTCCAATTTTGTGTCTACTATAGCATTAAAACCTCACAACATGCAAATATTGTTATATTCCAATTCTACTTTCTTCTCATGCAACTTTTTATAAAGTGTGGAAAGACCTTCACTTGTAGCACTAGTCTTAATTCCCACAAAAAGATCCACACAGGAGAGAAGCCATATCAATGTGTGGAATGTGGAAAGGGCTTTAAGTGGAATTCTGCTCTTACCTCCCACAAAAGGATCCACACAGGAGAGAAACCATATCAATGCCTGGAGTGTGGAAGGACCTTTGCTTTTACCACTCATCTTGATTACCACAAGAAGACCCACCACGAAAAGAAGCCATATCAATGTGTGGAATGTGGAAAGAGTTTTAGGAGGAGTGGTAATCTTAATAACCACAAGATATCTCACTTCCCATGAAAGAATCCATACAGGGGGGAAAACTATATGAATGCATGGAGTGTGGAAAGAGCTTTGCAAAAAGTAACACTCTTTACTTGCTATAGAAGGATCCACACGTAGGAGAAACCATATCAATAAAGGAAGTGTGGGAAGAGGTTCAATAAAAATGCAGGTTTATGACTTGTGTTGAACCCAAAATTCCTATTGCTAAGCGAAATAGTTGTTAAGTGACTTGTGTTCCATTTTACAATTACTTTCAGCCAAATTTGCTCCAAATTATTTAGATGGAGATTGCTCATGAGAATGTTTTTATTACTTTGTTTAATAGAGCACAGCAAGTTGTAAAAGATAGCCAAGTGTTGTTTCTCTCAACAAAATATTGCTAGAGATATTTCTCAAATTTGCTGGAACCTCAGAATCACACTGTAGAAGGCTGCAATATTGGGTCATACAAATGACTATATCTCCGCAAGTATTGCATCGGCAAACGTAACACTTTACCAATGTTCATGGATTACACCACTTTTAGTTATATAAATGTACTGAAATGCTCTCTATAATTGGTGATCAGCCTGACATGTTATTGTGTGGAAATGTGGGGGCATTCCTCCATGGTGAATTGACAGTAACATTTCTCCAATCTAACCCAAGCAATCACAATAAAGAAACAACAAATATTATGGAGCTGATTCCTGGCAACTTTTTAATGAGATTTTATCAGTATAAACTGAAATTCAGATTTTTTTTTAAATGGTTCATTTGGTTTTCACTGTGTTCCAATATTAAGTTTTAATTACACTCCTTTGAGGAGAGGCAATCTCTTAAGTTTCCATGAATGTGTAACCATGCATCCATCCATCAACTTTGGGGTTTCTATGGAATGTGTTTGATGGGTGTGATTATGATTAATTCCTTTACTTAAAAATCACTTGCAAAGGAGTAAGAATCTGCATAAGGCAAATACATACATGCTTTAAATAAAAACCTACAATTTACTTTGGCTTGCGATCTTTGTTATTCATATGACAAAGGGTTATGTATAATTTAGAGTAGAAGATTAGATTAGAATTCTTTATTGGCCAAGTGCGATTGGACACACAAGGAATTTGTCTTGGGGCATATGTTCTCAGTGCACAATCCCCAAAAATGTCTGCAGGAAAATTCCCCACCCCATTTTCCTATCAATTGACCATTCTTTATTTGAGATCGCAGGATACCGTCTCCAGCTCCATTCTCAGGGGGAGAGAGAGAGACTTTTGGCTTCATGGAAGGAAAGCAGCAGAAGCAGCAAAGAGACTTGAGACTTGTCGTGCCTGCACAGCCTCTTGGAGCAGGATGCCTTGCAGGGTCCCAAAGATTCCTTTCTGGCAGAGTTTGGGGGCGAAAAAGACTTTTGCTGCTTTCCTTGCATGCAGCCAAAAGCAGAAGAAAGAAGCAGCCTGGTGGCCAAGCAAGGAGCGTGGGGTGAGTGGGGCAAGTCGTCCCCCCCGCCCTTTCCCCCCTCCCCTCACTACCTCATGTTGTTCGTAATGCAAGGGACGCAAACCTTGTGTTCCTACGGGCCATGTGGGCGGCGCAGCCTTGTGTTCCCGCGCAGCCTGGACTGCTTTGGGGGTGACATTTATCTGCGGACCACAAAAATTTTCTTGCGGACCACCAGTGGTCCCTGGCCCACTGGTTGGCGACCACTGAGATAGAGGATGTCTATCCCTCCCCCAATTATAGAGAAATGATGGGGAATTATCCTGCAGACTTTTGGGGGGATTTTCCCAGGGTCTCTGGTCTGCGGGATTTAAAATTATGAGTTTGGTGGTCCCTGAGGTCCAAAAGGTTGGCGACCCCTAGTCTATCTCAAGTCTAATACACAATCTTCTCAACACTTGCAGGAAGGCTCCACACCCATTTGTACCACTCCGGAGACTCTGAAGACACAGCTCCAGGTGGCCTCAGGATTAGTTACAAGAAGGCAAATGACCAGCTGTCTGCAAGGAGTATAAATTCTACAATTCCTCATCATCCAGTCAGAGCTGAAGAAGCTTCTTGAATGAGAGTCTTCTGAGAAAAACAAGGAAATCCAGTTGCCTCTTGAAAAAGCACCTTTGGGACACCCATGACTTGAATAGCTGATAATCTCCATAGACTCCTGGCGCAAACCACTATCAGTCAACAAAACACCATTCCCTGCAGAGAATAATATCTGTATCAACAAACCATTTAAGGCTTTACATGATATTTTGATTCAGGCATCTCCTGGAAAGAGGTTTCTCACTTTTTGCCTAACTCTAAATGGCTCCGACGTTTTTGACGGTCCAGATGTTCCTCCCAGAGACAACACAGTAGTATCCTAGCTTTTGATTTCTTCATGGGAACATGGGAGAACGGGCGCCCCACTTTCCAATGTTGGAAGAATTTTTTTTTCTGAGTTGTTTCAAGTGGGGAAAAAGACACTGGAAACATGGAGGCTATTTGGAAAGATGGTTTAATGATAGACAGGACTTGGAGATCCTGGGCAAAAAAGGGCGGAGATTCTGAGTGTCCCTGGGTTTTATGCCCTCTCTGGCTTTGAACTTCCTGGGGCACAGGAGGAGTATCCTGATTGGTTGCTATCAGAGGTCACAGCTAGCTTTGTAGATAGTCTGTGTACTAAGTTTGGTTGAAACTTGGTGGGTGGTACATTGAAGGGTAATTCTTTGACTCTGCCTGGAAGTAGATCTTTGTTATGTAGAATAGACTGCCCCAGGCCTTAATGGCCCATTAACAAAGGTGGAGGGAGGGCTGAGTTTCTGTCTCTCTGATTTTCTACTTCTCTTTTAGGGGAAATATTCTGCCCTTTTAATATCTCCTAAAATATTTCATTTTTCTAGGACAGAGGTCGGTTTTAACTTCCAACAATCTGTCCTCCTTTTTTTTTCTTTTGCCAAATCATTTTTCTGGCAAAAAATTAAAAATTGATCGGATCAGGGAGACTTGATGGGTGCTTTTAATTTTTCTGATGCAAAGGAGAAGGCATTGATAGAGGCAACAGAAAAGGATTCCTGCAGTGGCTCCCAAAAGCTTTCAACCATGAAGGTCTAGCAGCTCATCTGGTATGCCAAGACGTTGACCTTGGCTGGGCAAAGATAAGTCCATGCAGCTGCATTGTAAGCAGGAAAGCATCCCCCTCCCTCTTGATTCACACAGAAGACATCTCCCCTTTCCAGCGTACTTCCCCTCCCAAATACTAACTTTCCCCTCCCCCAGATTCTATGGCAGCTGACAGTAAGCAAGCAGCATGAGGGCTCATGAAAGCATCATGGAGGCTGACAGGATGGTTAATCCCCATTCGTAGCGCAAGAGAGAAAGCAGAAGTCTATCTCCAGCAGCAGACCAGACCAGCCTGGCGGGGTGGGGTGGGAAACTAAGTGGCGCCGAAAGCAGCTGAAGGCACAACCGCTGTAGCTGCCCCACCTCACCTCATCCCACAGGACCAGCCTCCTGCTGCCCAACCCAGACTCGGAGGCCCCTGGATTATGTCCCCAAACCTGCGCGACCCACACAGGCACCACCCACGAGAGCAATGTCATATTGGCCATGCCCACCTCTCCCCCCCAGTGGACAACCGCCATGCTGATCCGGCCCTCAATGAAATTGAGTTTGATACTCCTGGCTTAGGACAATTAAGATTTGTATTGATGTTTTATTTCCATTATTTCAGCTGCCTTTTCAAATTCATGTCTCTGGGCAGCTAACAACAGTTCAAAATAGCAAGTGGCAGCAGCAAAAATGGTTAGAAGCCAAAAGAAACGATCTTGCTTGAAAGAGGGGCATCATAAGGAAACAAGTTCCAAAATGGAGAGACAGCTCAAACTCATGGAAGTTTTTAGAAATTTTACCTCAAAACAAGGCGCCATGATGGAGACACGAATGGGAGAATGGTATCTCATAGGTGAGTGGCGGAAAGGTGCAATTACAAAATACAGGAAGGCAAATCTTGAGAGATACACATAAAGTTCAAATTCCATGAGGCAAAAGTGAAAAATGGCTTACCGTATTTGCCGGCGTATAAGATGACTTTTTTGCCCTGAAAAACATGCCTCCAAGTGGGGGGGGTCGTCTTATACGCTGGGTCATCTTATACGCCAGCAAATGGTAATTGGGAAGCACTGCGGCTGCCCGCGGCACCACCCGGAATGACGGTGGTGCGGCCGTAAGCCTGGGATAGCCGGTCGCCTTCCCCCCACCCTCCCGACCCTTGCGGGTTGCGGTGTCCTGCTGCCGCTGAGGTCGCTGGTTCGCGACGGTCCCCGCTTACCCTCTCCCCCGTCCCCGTCCCCCGGCGTATTTAGTTGGAAAATTTGGGGCCTCTGCTCGGCAGCGGCTGCCTCCAGCAACTCCTCTGCATTTCCCTCAGGTGCGTCCGCATGTTCCCCACGCTGGTAGGCAGGTTGTGCGTGTGTGTGTTCCTAATCAAACCGGCACCCCAGTTCCCCCACCCCTTGTCCGTTTGCCGGTGGCTTCGTCTGGCTCAGGGACCGGATCAGGATCGCGGCAAGATTATGTAATGCCGGCTGGTTCCGGCTGATGGGGCTGGGCTGCCTGCCGCCTCGTCGCATGCGCGCACAGGGGGCAGAGCGGTGAGTGCCCGCCGAGGGTCCCGAAGCACGCGGCAGCCCATGAGCGGGACCACCCACTAGTGCTCCTGACCTGAGGAGAAGGCCTCGCAATCAACCCTCGCTGTTTCCCTCAGCTGGGAACCTCTTTCAGAGGTGCCATCAGAGGTGCTACCAATGTAGGAATCCTCAGGGAAGAAGCCCAGAGCCCCCTCTGGCAGAATGAGCGCATCTATTGCAGCGGGGCTGCGTTATGAAACCATTAAAGTCACTTTCGCCGGCAATGTGTTTTGGGTCAGCTCTGCTCTGTTGGAAAGTCGGCGTTGTTTTCACTCTACCAGTTTCAGCCTTTCACCTTAATTATGAAAGTCCCTTCGGTCCCCTCCAATCAATGGAAGGTTGTTAAGAGTTAGGTGCCTGTGTAGCAGCTTCCCTTAAAGGATGAGGAAGTCGGTTTGGTGCCTTGACTTCTCAGAGAAGCGGTGGGGATAAACAAAATAAAAGAAGAGGAAAAGTTCTTGAAACAGGAATCTCCCTGGAGAAATCTATTCTCAGAAACCCTGGATTTCTTGGGGGAGTTTTAAAGGCAATTGCTTGAACCCAGTGATGTAGGCATCCTTTCCTGCTTGTTTCCAGTGCTTGAGGATGGTACTTTGCTAGGAATTGCTTCCATCCATTTACTCCCACATCTGAGCAAAAGAAATGGCTTCTTTCCATCCTTGGTTTTACAACGCTGTCAGTGCTTTTGATGCCCAAGTAAAGGAAAAGTCCTTTACTCCGAGGAACATGCAGTTAGTTGATTATATTTTTCCCTCTATGGGGAGAGACCCAAGGAAGAAAGAGAGCAGCAAAGTTTATATGGGTTGCAAAATAGCCCCTTTCACCTCTTCTTTATGTCCTTTCTCACCCATATTTTCTTCCCATTGGTGGTATGCTTTCCCTGGGTTTATCCAGTTCTGAAATTAGGACTATTTACCTTTCTCTGATGGGGACTAAAATATGGATGATGCTTCAAAAAATAAGACAAGATATTATTGGGCAACTCAGAAATAATAAACCACTCTACCAGGAAACTCTTTTCCCAAGCCTTGCATGTTTAAAAAAAAAAAAAAAAGAGCTGGAGCCCAATGAGGGGGATGCCTTCTCTGGTTTGTTGCAGCTGAGGCCGGGCAGTGCGAGCGGAGGCCGGGCGGTGCGAGCGGAGGCTGCTGAGCGCCTCGTTTCCTTGGGAGCTGGGAGAAGGAGGCCCGCCTACATCGGCCTGAAGGCTGGCTGCTCCTTTCGGCTTCACGGGATTCGTTTCCACGGTGCACAAAAGTGCCTCAAAAAAAAAAAAAGTGCAAAAGTGGAAGGTGTGCGGAAGAGGGGGTAGTCTTATACGGCGAGTATATAACAAACTCTATATTTTGAGTGGAAATGTTGGGGGGTCGTCTTATACGCCCAGTCGTCTTATACGCCAGCAAATACGGTAGTTTCATTTCCTCAGTAGGGAAGACAGCTCAGGAAATATGCATAGAAAGTTGAAAGACAATGTAAATCATCTAGATGAAACAAAGTAAGGATTTTCTTCAAGCCAAAAGAGCTGAAGACTCCCATGGTTTGAAGAGATTTGTGTGGAATTGGAGGTGACACTGCAAGAACAACAAAGAGATTTATCTAAATTAACGAAAGAAAAAAAACAGGGAAATAGAGCTAAGAAGTGATTGAAAAAGAATAGAATTAACTCCTCTCTCTTGCCCAAAGCCTGGTTCTTTTGAGCCCATTTTTCTCATTCTTCTATAATGGAAAAACGTGACACAGTGGCTACAAAACTAAAATTGGTGCCCTTTCACCAGTCTGATCCAGAACCATAGTTAAGCAGTATTTGAATAAATAGCTTCAAAGCAGCCTGAGTCTCTGAAAAAACCTGAAGTATTCCTTCCCCCCTCCAAATCCTTCCAAAGGTTTTCCTGTGGGTTTAATTTTTAATTCATTAAAAAGAAATTAAAAATGTCTCAGGGACAACCATACCATATCAATTATATTTAATTTTATTTATATCCAAAATTAATTTTATTCCATTCTAATTAAAAACAATTTCAATTAAACCCAATTTATTTAAATAGAATTTAGAGATTTCGTTATCATTTCAAAGAAAGACAAAATAGCTACAGCTATAGCACTTAAACTGATATACCGCTTCATAGTGCTTTACAACACTCCATAAACAGACTATAGAATCGGCACATTGCCTCCAACAATCTGGGTCCTCATTTTACCGGTCTCAGAAGAGTGGAAGGTTCAAACAACCTTGAGCTGGTCAGAATCGAACTCCTGGCAGTCAACGGAATTAGCTAGCAATGGTGCATTGTAACCACTGCACCACCATGGCTCTAATGCTTCAAAAAGTGTTTTTGAACATGGATTTCACTTCCCATTCTGGTTTCTTTTGTGAGAGGAATTCATCATTATGAAAAAAATTTCACATCATACGTTGATATATATGTGAACTTCTATGGCTTTTGGTTGAATTCCCAGACAGGTAATCCTCAACTTACAACAATTTGTCTACTACTATTCGAAGTTAGAACGGTACTGAAAAAAGTGTCTTATGACCATGGTCACGATTTACATTCAGATGTTTGACAAGTCGCTCACATTTATGACACTTGCAGTGTTCTAGGGTCACGTGATCACCTTTTGTAACCTTCTGACCGGAATCAGAAGCAAAATCAATGGAAAAGCAATTCCCTTAATAATAATATTACTAACTTAATCAC